GAATTGTTCTATTTAATTCAGAATTTGACGACGCACATAATGTAAAATTCTCATTCTCATGCGCAGCGATTGCTGACCGGAGTGAGGCCATCAACAATTGAGAACTCGGTTCAATCACAGCTCAGTCTACGTGAGTCTGCGGGTCTCTGTGAGTCTACAGGTCTCTATGCAAGTCTACAGGTCTCTATGCAATTCTGCGGGTCTCCATGTGAGTCTACAGGTCTCTATGTGAGTCTACGGGTCTCCACGTGAGTCTACGGGTCTCTATGTGAGTCTACGGCTCTCTATGTGAGTCACTGGTCACTGGGCTGAGTCCATCAACTCGTCAATACTTGAGAACCCAGTTCAATCACAGCTCAGTCTACGTGAGTCTGCGGGTCTCTCCGTGAGTCTGCGGGTCTCTGTGAGTCTACGGGTCTCTATGAGTCTACAGGTCCCCATGTGAGTCTACAGCTCTCTGTGAGTCTACGGCTCTCTATGTGAGTCACTGGTGACTGGGCTGAGTCCATCAACTCGTGAACACTTGAGAACCCGGTTGGATCACAACTCAGTCGGGCAGTTGAACTGCGCAACTCGAACTCTGGAGTCTCAGTGGAGTGAGTGCTGGGTGACCCCGTGTGATTATGAACTCGCTGACCCACGCAGGCGACCCCTCACCAGGGCAAATAATCCGAATGGAATTTTGCCAATCACCGCTCATCAATCAACGCTATCATCGATCAATGAATAGAAAAGCGCGCTCATCAGTGGGGGATGCAACGTAAGAGCCGTGGCCGCAAGCCACGGAATTATAATTAATTAGCCGATGAATTAATGACTCCAGGCTGCTAATTAACGACACGGAGTCACGTGGCTCGGTAGGTCAGAGGGCTTGGGGCGCGCGATCGCAGAGAGCCTGGGTTGCAATCCAGGTAAGGGGCCGTCCATAAATGACGTCACGCACCTAGGGGGGGGGTGCGGTCAGATATTATGTGACGATGTGTGACGAGGGGGGGGGGGGTGAGAAATGTGACGTCGCATCAAAATGCGCAACTTTAAATAAATATGGACAACACGTTCTACTTAATTAAATAGACTTTTTAGTAAATGTTTTATCCCACAACATCAGAGTGCAGCGGCACATTAAATACGCACTACAATGACAATAGTTGAAAACGATTTGAAGCATGTTTTATTTTTTGGGGGGGGGGGCAGAGTTTTTGTGACGTCATATTTGAGGGGGGGGGGGTCTGACTTTTTGTGACGCCGTGTGACGAGGGGGGGGGGGGGGTCAAAAAATCTAACATAATCGCGTGACGTCATTTATGGACGGCCCCTAACGGCCGCTCGCTCGACCCGGATCTCAACGAGGGACAGTCTCACTTCCTTCCCCCACGCACCTCCGATCAGCACCGTTGGCTCCGTACGGTGCGAAAGAAGTTCCGACACACGTGCGTGTGGAGCGACCCGCGGACGCGCGGACCGTAGAGAGTTTATTTACATTGGTCGGTCGCTTCACAACGACGACTTCAAGTCATCTTCTTGGTTCTTTCGGTAAAGTCACGTAGAATGGAAATAATAAAATAATAAAAATAAAACATAAAATAATTCTCACGACGTTTCGGCCACAACGCAAGCAGCCGTCCTCAGGTGAAGACCAGGTCTGTCGGGGAGACAGCGTCTGAATGAAACACCACCACGCTTGGAGTGTATATTTAAGCTGGGTTGCAAGGGGGGAAGGGCGCCTTGACAGCTTAAATAGACGCTCCAAGCCTGGTGGTGTTTCATTCAGACGCTGTCTCCCCAACAGACCTGTTCTTCACCTGAGGACGGCTGCTTGCGTTGTCGCCTAAACGTCGTGAGAATAATTTTATTATGTTTTATTACTTTATTATTTTATTACTTCCCTTCTACGTGACTTTACCGAAAGAACCAAGAAGATGAATCCCTGCAGTCACGAAAGTTTTTAATCGAAACTTCAAGTCAGCGACGACGCTGCGCGCGGAACCCGAATGGCACGACTGGCAGAGAGTCTCGGAAGCAACTCTGCGACAAGCCGCCGTTGTCTAACGCAAGCAAGAAGAAAAATAAAGTAAAGGATTGCGCTCCTGCGCCACACAGAAGGGCCATTGCCCGAAACGTTGGCTATTCTGCAAAGTCCTGTCCCCACTGATGATGTCATTACTACACCACTGATAATGTAGTCACTACACCACTGATAATGTAGTCACTACACCACTGATAATGTAGTCACTACACCACTGATAATGTAGTTACTACGTCACTGATAATGTAGTTACTACACCACTGATAATGTAGTTACTACGTCACTGATAATGTAGTTACTACACCACTGATAATGTAGTCACTACACCACTGATAATGTAGTCACTACACCACTGATAATGTAGTCACTACACCACTGATAATGTAGTCACTACACCACTGATAATGTAGTCACTACACCACTGATAATGTAGTCACTACACCACTGATAATGTAGTTACTACACCACTGGCGATGACCGTATTGGTGGTTGTTGTTGTTGTTGTCTTTGTTGCTATTGTTGTTGTTTATTGTGCTTGTGCACCACTGCCAAAGCAGCATCAACAGCCGCAGGAGCACCACCAAATTACGTTGTCTGCGAGATTTCCGATAGTAGAATGCAAGGCCATAATTATAATATTCAAAAATGCTCAAAATGTCCCCCCCCCCCCAATATATTGCTATAAAATTGATTTATGTTTACGTGATTGTGGTTATGTTTGTACTTCTATGAATCCCTAATCTCTGCCATTACATACAATGAAACAAGAAAATGTAAAAAAGAAAAAAATGTAATACAATACACTATTATAAATTATTGTAAAAAAGAAATAAAAAGTCCATCCTATGTGTTAGTGAATTTTTTTATATTTTAGGCAGAAAATTCGTTTTCAAATTCAGATTTTTTTCTGGGGGGGGGGACCCCAAACCCCCTGGAAGATTTGGGTCCCCCCCAATGTTGACTCTATGGCTACGCCCTTGGTAGAATCTATAAACTATCGTAAACTATAAACTATTTTCTTGGTTCTTTCGGTAAAGTCACGTAGAAGGGAATTAATAATATAATACAAATAAAACATTATTTTATTATGTTTTATTTTTATTATTTTATTACGTTTTATTTTATTTTTATTAATTTATTACTTCCCTTCTACGTGACTTTACCGAAATAACCAAGAAGATGAATCCCTGCAGTCACGAAAGCTTTAAATCGAAATATAATTTTTTTTTTACCAGCGATAGCTCAACGAAAGTGGTTCATCATCACGTGGACATTTCGAGCAGCCAATTACTCCGCTAAGCGTCTGATGTTGATTCGAAATGCGGAGGGAAAACCCGCAGGACCCGGAGAAAAAAAATCCACGCGACCACGGGGGGAGAGAGAGAGAGAGACACCGCAAACTCAGAATGTACAGCAGGCGTCAGCGTCGGGCTCGAAGCCACGACCTCCTACATACCAGGCGAGGTAGTTAACATCTTCTAGCCACCGTGATAATGACGATGATTAGAGACACGCAAACTCCAAACATGCAGCAGGCGTCAGGATCGAACTCACGACCTCCTGCATACCAGGCGAGGTAGTTAACATCTCCTAGCCACCGTGATGCTGATGAGAGAGAGACACACAAACTCCAAATATACAGCAGCAGGCGTCAGGATCGGGATAAAACCCACGACATCCTTCATACCAGGCGAGGTAGTTAATATATCCTAGCCACCGTGATGATGATGAAAGAGAGAGACAAGCAAACTCCAAATTTACAGCAGGCGTCAGGGTCAGGATCGAACTCACGACCTCCTGCATACCAGGCGAGGTAGTTAACATCTCCTAGCCACCGTGATGCTGATGAGAGAGAGAGAGAGACACGCAAACTCCAAATATACAGCAGCAGGCGTCAGGGTCGGGATAAAACCCACGACATCCTGCATACCAGGCGAGGTAGTTAACATCTCATAGCCACCGTGATAATGACGATGATGAGAGACACGCAAACTCCAAACATGCAGCAGGCGTCAGGATCGAACTCACGACCTCCTGCATACCAGGCGAGGTAGTTAACATCTCCTAGCCACCGTGTGTGCCCAGAAACGGGATACAGCTTGGGAAGGGGGTGCAGGGGGCGGCAGGGGGTGGCAGGGGGCACGACGACACGACGGCGATTGACACGAGGCGGTTATCGGGCCCCCCTTTTTTTGATAGGTACCAAAATAAAAAAGGAGGTTTAATGCAATTTAGAGAGCGCTTTGGGAGGAGTGGACCTATTTCCCCTCTCTCCCTCCCTCCCTCTCTCCTCTTCCCCCCTCCCTCCCTTGCCTCTCTCCGTGACTTTAAGAGAATTAATTAATTACCGGCCAATAAACATCAGTCAGAGCGCGCCCACAAATGCGGCCGGCTCGCTGCGTTCCACCAAACGGGGGCGGAGATGGGTTGGGGGGGGAGGGGAGATTTGGGGTGGGTGCGGTACGTGGGGGGTGCGGGCGGAAGAGGAGGCTAGGGGGGATGGGGTGGGATGGGGAGGGGGGAGGGTGAGAGGGATGGGGAGGGATGGGGAGGGATGGGGAAGAGGGGGATAGGGGGGAGGGGGAGGAGGGATGGGGAGGAGGAGGGATGGGGATGGGGATGGGGAGGGATGTGGAGGAGGGGGTAGGAGGGAGGGAAGTAGGAGGGATGGGGAGGGGTGAGGAGGAGAGGGATGGGGAGGAGGGAGGGTGAGAGGGATAGGGGGCTAAGGGGCGGGGGGAGGAGGGATGGGAAGGGGGGAGGATGAGAGGGATCGGGAGGGGGTAGGAGGGAGGGGAGGAGGAGGGATGGGTGAGGAGGAGAGGCGCGGGGAGGAGGGGGATAGGGGGGAGGGCAGGATGAGAGGGATGGGGCTAGGGGCGGGGGGAGCAGGGATGGGGAGGGGGCATGGGTGGAAGAGGAGGAGGCGTGGGGATGGGGTGAGGATGCGAGGCGTGCAATTGAGGACGGAGCGGCAGTGGCGTCCACAGGAGCTGCAAGTTGGCAAAGCGACTCGTGCAGGAGGGAGTGGACCAGGTTGCGTGCGGATGCGTTTTACTTGCACACATGGCTACACACTCTAGGCACATGTGTGTGTGCTACACGTGTACACACACACACCTGTGCAGATACACAACACGTGTGCTCACGTGCGCACATACACATGGACACAGCATGCGCATACGTACACTTGAATGCACACGCGCGCATGCACACATCACACACACATCACACACAGACATCACACACACACAGACACATACACACACAGACACACAGACACATCACACACACACAGACACACATCACACACAGTAACACATCACACACAGACACACATACACAGACACATCACACACATACACACACATACACATCACACACACACAGATACACATCACACACATCACACACATCACACATACACACACATCACACATACACACACATACACGCACACACATGTACATATACACACTTGTCACATACGCACGCGCGTAAACATACAAACATCCCCCGTATAGCCTTACCAGAATGTTGGGGCAAGTGCTGTTAGCGAGCACCTATGAAGGCCTGCACGGCACACGAGGGGTGGGTGGCCAGCACCACGCCCGACCGCCTTTGTCTCCCCAACGGCGATATTTGCGACACACCGCACCAGGTACTCATTTGAGGCTGAGTCGACCTAGGTTCAGATGATCGTCACTGATTTTGGCCGCGAGCGGGAATCAAATTCGGGTCGCCGGGTTCGTAGCGCAGTGCGCTAACCACTGTGCCACCGCTCCCCGTACACACACACGCGCATAGAGGTATTTACACACACACACAGACACACACAACTTAACGCAGCAACACACACGCAGAGCAGGGCGCGGCAGCTGCCCAGTGTCAACCCCCTAGGTCGACTCAACGGCTGGCAGCGGCGTTAGTATAATCACCGCCGGGGAGACAAAGGCGGCCGGACGTGGTGGTTGACCACCCCTAGCGCTGCTCGCTCACAGCACTTGCCCCTCCCCGACCCCCACTCTGTTGAAGGCTACACGGGGGATCTTTACCTGTGTGTATCACGCACGTGTCAGGCAAGTGGGAATCGAGAAGGGGGTAACCAGCACCCCCCTCCCCACCCCCCCCCCCTCGTGTTTCTTCCTTGATCCCCAAAGATCCCGGGAAACCCCCTCGGAGTTGGCAGCCGGGCTGTCTGCGGGGCCGCACGCGATGGGGTCTCTGGGAGTCGTCGTCGGAGTGTGGATCGTGATCCGCGTGGCCGCCTCACAGCGCCTCTTGAGCGGTGAGACGAGCGAGCGGTGTCATCGGTATCATCAGCAGCATCATCGGTATTATCAGCAGCATCATCATAATCACCGCCATCATCATCATCGGTATCATCATCATCATCGGTATCATCAGCATCATCATCAGAATCACCATCATCATCATCGGCATCATCAGAATCACCATCATCATCAGTATCATCAGCATGATCAGCATCATCAGCTGCAGCAGTAGCACCGGCGGTGTCATTGGGAGCACCAGCAGCATTACTCTGTGATCATCACCAGCAATAACAGCAGCATCATCAGCAGCGTCTACCATATCACTCCATCTCCCATTTCGCTCCATCTCCCATATCGCTCCAACTCCCATATCGCTCCATTTCTAATATCACTCCATCTCCCATATCGCTCCAACTCCCATATCGCTCCATTTCTAATATCACTCCATCTCCCATATCGCTCCATCTCCAATATAGCTCCATCTCCCATATCGCTCCAACTTCAATATCGCTCCATCTCCCATATCGCTCCATCTCCAATATCGCTCCACGCCCCATATCGCTCCATCTCCCATATCGCTCCACGTCCCATATAGCTTCATCTCCAATATCGCTCCGCGTCCCATATCGCTCCATCTCCCATATCCATGTCGCTCCTTTGGGCTGCCATTCCAATCCCCCCCCTGGCCATCAGCCGCCCGCCGTCCCTGGCCCTGGCGCGCGTCATGCACCACCGCGCTCGCCGTGCTGTCCGGCACCGTCGATGACGCGACACCAGTAGCGGCAGCAGCAGCGGTAGCGGCAGCAGCAGCGGTAGCGGCAGCAGCAGCACCCTGCGTGTGTTCTCTAAGCCGCGTGTCACTCGGCCACCGTCTCTCGGCGTCAATTGCGAGCATCCGCCTCTCTCCGTGCATCTTTGCGGATCGTTTCAATCGTCGTTCCATTTGCCGGCGGCTCGCGATGATTCTGTCTCTGCAGCCGCCGATGAGGTTCATGATGCTGATGATGATGCCGCTGCTGCTGCTGATTATTATTAAGGCGCCGCCGCTGCTGCTGCTGCTACTGCCGCAGCTGCCGTGATATCTGGCACGTCTAAACTCGAGCGGCGAACAAGTGTACGGTTCGAGCGCTTTTTGTTCGCGGCGATGATGATGATGAGCGGTACGCAGAGCGAAGCGTCTCGATGTGTTCCACACGGTGGATGATCGCGGACGCGTTGAATCGTCGAGGGCGTGGGGGGTCGGTCAACCCCGCGCACTCGGCTCTCACTCGAGGGCAGCCGTTTTAACAACAACAACATCAGCAACAACTTAAATCTTAAACAAAGTTTGGACGTCAAAATTGACGTTTTGAATACGGCGAGAAATGAGTGACTGTGAGATGCCTTGTTGACAACAGAATGTACAAACTGCATTGTTAAAGAGCGAATAAGGGGAGGAAATGAAACTAAACAGACGCGTTCCTTCCATCACCTATTTTCTTTATTAAGTCACTACGTGTGTTGTTGTTGTTGTCGTCTTGCGGGATACCCGCTGCTGCTGCCGCCGCTGCTGCTGCTGTGTTTGTGTACAAGTATAGAGTTGTGCGTGCGATTCCAACTATTGTGGTCAATGATACAAACAAATAAAAAATGCCTCTTCCAATTCTTCTTCTTCTTACCCGTGATGCATAGTCCTTAGCAACTCCACTGTTGGATGAATAGCTGAAGGGTGTTTTGACCATACTTCACCACGCTGGTCAGTGCGGGGGTTGTCGAAGGGAATTTGGGTGGGGGAGGTGGAGGGGGGCTTGGATCAGGATCGTTTCGCCACGGTGGCTAGGAGATGTTAACTACCTCGCCTGGTATACAGGAGCATCATGGGTTTGATACCGGCTCTGACGCCTGCTGTATATTTGGAGTTTGCGTGTCTCACTCTCTCATCATAATCACGGTGGCTAGGAGATGTTAACTACCTCGCCTGGTTACATGAGATCGTGGGTTCAAACCCGACCCTGACGCTTGCTGCTGTATATTTGGAGTTTTGTGGCGTCTCTCTCTCTCATCATCATCACGGTGGCTAGGACATGTTGACTACCTTTCAAGGTATGCAGGAGATCGTGGGTTCGAACCCGACCCTGACGCTTGCTGCTGTACATTTGGAGTTTTGTGGCGTCTCTCTCTCTCTCTCATCATCATCACGGTGGCTAGGAGATGTTGACTACCTCGCCAGGTATACAGGCAATCATGGGCTTGATACCGACCCTGACGCCTGCTGTATATTTGGAGTTTGCGGTCTCTCTCTCTTTCTCTCATCATAATCACGGTGGCTAGGAAATGTTGACTACCTCGCCTGGTCTACATGAGATCGTGGGTTCGAACCCGACCCTGACGCTTGCTGCTGTACATTTGAAGTTTGTGTCTCTCTCTCCCCAGTATTTGGCTGCTATATATTTCCACATGATAAGCCACTTCGTTGAGCTATCATTTGTGATAGCCAGGTCACTTCGGAAAAAGAGCTACATAGCTCAGTGGGGCTTTACCTGGCGAAAAAAATAAATTTTCGTTTTATTTTAGTTTAGGTTCAGATACCAGGCGCCACTGATGTTAGCCGTGGGTCGAGAATCAAATGCAGGCGGCCTGCGGGTTCTGAGCGAATCACCCCGCCATCGCTTGTCAAATGTTACCCGGACCGGTACTGGGCCTCCCGTAGATTAGCCTTAAAATGTGTAAACCTCCACTTGGTGAGACGTTGTCAACAACTGCTGATGTTGCTGCTGATGTTGTTGATGCTGCTGCTGATGTTGTTGTTGTTGATAGCGGCGAAGAATGTGCTGCTTCTGCTACCGCTGCTGTTGATGCCGTTGCTGTTGCAGCTACCGCTGCTGTTGGTGCTGCTGCTTTTGCAGATATCGCTGCTGTTGCAGCTGCTGCTGCTCTTCCCGCTGCTGCTGTTGCCACTACCGCTACTGTTGATACCGTTGCTGTTGCAGATATCGCTGCTGTTGCAGCTGCTGCTGCTGTTGGTGCTGCTGCTTTTCCCACTGCTGCTGTTGCCGCTACCGCTACTGTTGATACTGTTGCTGTTGCAGTTCCCGCTGCTGTTGCAGCTACCGCTGCTGTTGGTGCTGCTACTGCTGCCGCTACCGCTGATGTTGATGCCGCTGCTGTTTCCGCTACCGCTACTGCCGCCACCGCTGCTGCCGCCGCTGCCCCTGCTCACCGCGTGTCGCGCTGTCCCAGGCCAGGTGCTGTGCAGGCGCGGCGAGGCGGGGCCCTGCTACAAGGTGGCCTACCTGGCCGAGGCGTCGCGCCGGGTCGGCTGGAGGGAGGCGCGCAGGGCGTGCGAGGCGGAGGGCGGCGACCTCGCCAGCGTCGAGAGCGCTCACGAGCAGCGCGTCGTCGAGGTGCCCTCGCCGCCGTCGCGTTCATCAGCGTCGTTGGCTTGAACGTCGCCGTGTCGATGATCATCGCCGTGTCGATGATCATAGCCGTGTCGATAATCGCCATCGTCATCGTGTCGATGATCATCGCCGTGTCGATAATCATCATCGTGTCGATGATTGTCACCCTGTCGATGATCGTCACCATGTCGATGATCGTCACCATGTCGATGATCATCGCCTTGTCGATGATCATCGCCGTGTCGATAATCGTCACCGTGTCGATGATCGTCACCGTGTCGATGATCGTCGAAGTGTCGATAATCGCCATTGTGTCGATAACCATCACCTCCATCGTCGTCGTAGTCTCGATACTCATCATCGTCTCAATCGTCATCTCGATCTGACTTTCTGGGCCACTCCATGTAACAACCCCCTGTGTGTGTGTGTCCTGACTTCTGGGGCACGCTGCATAATAACAACCCCGATGTGTCCTGACTTTTGGGCCACGCTGCATAAGTAACAACTCAATGTCCCGATTCACGAACACGACACGGGGAGACTTCATCATCGTCATCATCATAGCGACAATTCACCCCCGCTCAGCTACTCCTGACACAATTCATCTCGCTCGATCATCCCGACATTGCATTGACAGCTGCTGCTCCACAATCTGCACCGGTGTGTTCTTTAATAATTTTCAGAGGGGGATGGCGGGGGGGCACTTTGGCTGATAAGACATCGCCAGGAGTAGTGAGGGTCGCCACACATTTTGAAACCATCGTTGGGTTTGACAGCAGCACGGTGACAATGATGATGGTGATGATGATGGGGGTGTTGTGAGAGAGACCGCAGGTCAGAGGCCGCACTAAAGGCCACCAGGGGCCCTCCAATGACCCGCGGGGCTTTGCAATGAAGAACGTTGCTCTGCAATCAACATTGGCCACGGGGATGAGATCCACATTATCTTAATTGCCGATGGGATCTCAAATCGCGTGTCTTGGGCGACCCCTAGTGTCCCAATCCCTTCGGCTACAGCGTCTCCATCCCCACCCCGCCCCTCCCTCCCACAGACATCGCCCCCAGTGGAGCCGAGAGCACCCATGAAGAATGGCCATTGCCAAAAAAGTTACCTGTTATACAGAGTGGGCCACAAGCCAGGTCACGTGAGGGTTGTTGTACAGGGTGGGCCACAAGCCAGGTCACGTGATGGTTGTTGTTCAGGGTGGGCCACTGGCCAGGTCACGTGATGGTTGTTGTTCAGGGTGGGCCACAAGCCAGGTCACGTGAGGGTTGTTGTTCAGGGTGGGTCACAGGCCAGGTCACGTGATGGCTGTTGTACAGGGTGGGTCACAGGCCAGGTCACGTGATGGTTGTTGTTCAGGGTGGGTCACAGGCCCGGTCACGTGATGGCTGTTGTACAGGGTGGGTCACAAGCCAGGTCACGTGATGGTTGTTGTTCAGGGTGGGCCACAAGCCAGGTCACGTGAGGGTTGTTGTACAGGGTGGGTCACAAGCCAGGTCACGTGAGGGTTGTTGTTCAGGGTGGGCCACAAGCCAGGTCACGTGAGGGTTGTTGTACAGAGTGGGTCACAAGCCAGGTCACGTGAGGGTTGTTGTTCAGGGTGGGTCACAGGCCAGGTCACGTGAGGGTTGTTGTTCAGGGTGGGCCACAAGCCAGGTCACGTGAGGGTTGTTGTTCAGGGTGGGTCACAAGCCAGGTCACGTGAGGGTTGTTGTTCAGGGTGGGTCACAGGCCAGGTCACGTGATGGTTGTTGTTCAGGGTGGGCCACTGGCCAGGTCACGTGATGGTTGTTGTTCAGGGTGGGCCACAAGCCAGGTCACGTGAGGGTTGTTGTTCAGGGTGGGTCACAGGCCAGGTCACGTGATGGCTGTTGTACAGGGTGGGTCACAGGCCAGATCACGTGATGGTTGTTGTTCAGGGTGGGTCACAGGCCCGGTCACGTGATGGCTGTTGTACAGGGTGGGTCACAAGCCAGGTCACGTGATGGTTGTTGTTCAGGGTGGGCCACAAGCCAGGTCACGTGAGGGTTGTTGTACAGGGTGGGTCACAAGCCAGGTCACGTGAGGGTTGTTGTTCAGGGTGGGTCACAAGCCAGGTCACGTGAGGGTTGTTGTTCAGGGTGGGTCACAAGCCAGGTCACGTGAGGGTTGTTGTTCAGGGTGGGCCACAAGCCAGGTCACGTGAGGGTTGTTGTACAGAGTGGGTCACAAGCCAGGTCACGTGAGGGTTGTTGTTCAGGGTGGGTCACAGGCCAGGTCACGTGAGGGTTGTTGTTCAGGGTGGGCCACAAGCCAGGTCACGTGAGGGTTGTTGTTCAGGGTGGGTCACAAGCCAGGTCACGTGAGGGTTGTTGTTCAGGGTGGGTCACAAGCCAGGTCACGTGATGGTTGTTGTTCAGGGTGGGTCACAAGCCAGGTCACGTGAGGGTTGTTGTTCAGGGTGGGTCACAAGCCAGGTCACGTGGGGGTTGTTGTTCAGGGTGGGCCACAAGCCAGGTCACGTGATGGTTGTTGTTCAGGGTGGGTCACAAGCCAGGTCACGTGATGGTTGTTGTACAGGGTGGGTCACAAGCCAGGTCACGTGAGGGTTGTTGTTCAGGGTGGGCCACAAGCCAGGTCACGTGAGGGTTGTTGTTCAGGGTGGGTCACAAGCCAGGTCACGTGAGGGTTGTTGTTCAGGGTGGGTCACAAGCCAGGTCACGTGATGGTTGTTGTTCAGGGTGGGTCACAAGCCAGGTCACGTGAGGGTTGTTGTTCAGGGTGGGTCACAAGCCAGGTCACGTGGGGGTTGTTGTTGAGGGTGGGCCACAAGCCAGGTCACGTGATGGTTGTTGTTCAGGGTGGGTCACAAGCCAAGTCACGTGATGGTTGTTGTACAGGGTGGGTCACAAGCCAGGTCACGTGATGGTTGTTGTTCAGGGTGGGTCACAAGCCAGGTCACGTGATGGTTGTTGTTCAGGGTGGGTCACAAGCCAGGTCACGTGAGGGTTGTTGTTCAGGGTGGGCCACAAGCCAGGTCACGTGAGGGTTGTTGTACAGGGTGGGTCACAAGCCAGGTCACGTGATGGTTGTTGTTCAGGGTGGGTCACTGGCTAGGTCACGTGATAGTTGTTGTTCAGGGTGGGTCACAAGCCAGGTCACGTGAGGGTTGTTGTTCAGGGTGGGTCACAAGCCAGGTCACGTGAGGGTTGTTGTTCAGGGTGGGTCACAAGCCAGGTCACGTGATGGTTGTTGTTCAGGGTGGGTCACAAGCCAGGTCACGTGAGGGTTGTTGTTCAGGGTGGGTCACAAGCCAGGTCACGTGAGGGTTGTTGTTCAGGGTGGGTCACAAGCCAGGTCACGTGATGGTTGTTGTACAGGGTGGGCCACAAGCCAGGTCACGTGATGGTTGTTGTTCAGGGTGGGTCACAAGCCAGGTCACGTGATAATTGTTGTACAGGGTGGGCCAAAAGTTAGCAGGTCGTGTGTTCGGTCCCGACCCTGACGCCTGGGCAACTGTGATAAATGAGCTTTATAGTCTAAATACAGATTCTGATTCTGTATCGTTGTAGTTGGCGTGTTCTCCCTCTCCTGGTGGTGGTGGCAATGATCTTTCTCCGGTGTTTCGACCCCACAATGAGAAACAACATGGATCTAGGTCGGTGTTCTTCATGGCAAGGCCCGCGGGCCACTGGCGGTCCCCCATGGTGGCCTTTAGTGAGGCCTTTTAGTGAGGCCCCCTCACGTGCAACCCCCCAACACAAAACACCACCCATCATCATCACCATCATCATCATCACCATCATCATCATCACCATCATCGTCATCGTCACCATCGTCACCATCATCACCATCAACACCACCATCATCATCACCATCATCGTCATCGTCACCATCATCACCATCACCACCACCATCACCACCATCATCACCATCATCATCACCATCATCACCACCATCATCATCACCATCATCATCATAATCATCATCACCATCATCATCATCACCATCATCATCACCATCATCACCATCATCATCACCATCATCACCACCATCATCATCACCATCATAATCATCATCACCATCATCATCATCGTCACCATCACCATCATAACCATCATCATCACCATCACCATCATCATCGTCATCGTGCTGCCGTCAAATCCAAAGATTGTTTAAAAATGTGTGGTGGCCCACACACTACTGATGACGTGGCGGGTTTAACGGCACATTTATATTCACGCAATCTAACCCCCCAAAAAACCTGTATTATGGATACAAATAATTCAGTTCAGTTTAACACGCGTATCGATTGTTTGGCTGCTGCTACTGTATACATTCCCACATATGATGATAAGCCACTTCGCTGAGCCATCATTTGTAATAGCCAGGTCGCTTCTGAAAAAGAGCTCTATAGCTCAACAGGGCCTTACCTGGTGAAATAAAAAATAATTAGTTAACCCCCCCCACCCCATTCTGTGTGTTTCTGTCCACAGGCGCTGGTGAGCGGCGTCGCTGGGGGGGCTGACGGAGACTTCTGGATCGGACTGCGGAGAGAGGATGGGGGCGCGAGGTCACGGCGGGGTGGGGGGCTCGGTGGGGGGCTGGTGGCGGCGTGCGAAGATCTGTACGCGTGGAGCGATGGCAGCCGAGCATCGTACCGGTGTGCAGAGAGACGCACGAGACGAGACTGCACCGATCTAGATCTCGCAGCACGAGATTACACTGATCTAGATCTCGCTGCACGAGACTACACTGATCTAGATCTTGCTGCACGAGGTCCCTTATTGCATGGCTGTCATTGCTCCCTTGACTTAATCCAATACGATCACAAACACTACTCATCAACCAAAATCCCGAACCCTGTGCCGAACCCAAACTGAAACCTCTAACTCGAAATCCTAACCCACACCCCGAATCTAAGCAAAATTCTAAACTCCATCCTTAACCCTAACCCCAACCCTATCTATCTATCTATCCGCACACATAGGGCTGCCAACTGTGACCGAAGCTATTCCGGAAAGTTTTTTTTAAATAATTACTAATTAATTTTCATTAAAAAATAAATCCCATTTTTTAAAATATCCCAGATTGCTTTCGCTAAAAGTCACCTGGAATAGATCGAATGTCAATTTGCTGGAGTCAACTCCCGGGGCGGATCCGGGATGGTTGGTAACTCCACGCAAGCCTCGGTTGGCCTCACCGCGCCCATGAACAAATCTCCCGTGGGCATCCCCACACCAAATGGGGCGCCACGGTGGCTAGGAGATGTTAACAACCTCGCCTGGTGTACAGGAGGTCGTGGGCTTTGATCCAGACCCTGACGCCTGTATATTTGTATTTTGCGTCTTGATACAGCAATCGTGCTGTGACGGTTCCACCTGAAGACGGAAGCTTGTGTTGCCTCCGAAACCTCGTGATTTTATTTTTTTTTTATTTTACTTTTTTATTTTTTTTATTTTTTACCTACGTGACTTTATCGAAAAAACCTAAGAATATGAATATTTTGCGTCTCTCTCTCACTCTCTGTCCCCGTGGTCGCGCGGATTTTTCCTTCCACATGAAGGATCGGCGTCACGCGTTCAGAGTATTTGCCCGCTACACATTCCCACGTGGTGATGAGAAGCCACTTCGCTGAGCCATCATTTTGATTTGCCAGCTCGCTTCTGAACAAAAAAAGAGCTACACAGCTCAGTGGGGAGAGGGGGGGGGCTTACCTGGCACAATAAAATATAAAGCGGGAATTCCTATTGTCCCGGCTGACTGACCGAGGTGGTAATTTTCATCACACTCTCTCTCCCACGCCCCCCTCCGCCCCAAGGAAGTGGTACGCGGACGAGCCGTCGTGTGGGAGCGAGGTCTGCGTGGTGATGTATCACCAGCCCACGGCGGCTGAGGGGTTCGGGGGACCCTACATGTACACGTGGAACGACGACCGCTGCAACATGAAGCACAACTTCATCTGCAAGTACGGCGGCGGCGGAGGTACGGGCGCGATCGTCACCATCACGGTGGCGAGGAGGTGTTGACTACCTCGCCTGGTATACAGGAGGTCGTGGGTTCGATCCCGACCCTGGAAATTGTATGTTTGGAGTTTGTGTGTCTCTCTTATCATCACCATTACGTTGGCTAGGAGATGTTGACTACCTCGCCTGGTATGCAGAAGGTCGTGGGTTCGATCCCAGCCCTGGCAACTGTATATTTGAAGTTTGCGTGTCTCTCTCATCATCATCATCACGGTGGCTATGATATGTTAATTGCCTCGCCTGGAATACACGAGGTCATGGGTTCGATCCCGACGCTGACGCCTGCTGTATATTTGGAGTTTGCGGTGTCTCTCTCTCCCCGTAGGTCGCGTTGATCTTTCTCCGGGGCCTCGGGTCTTTCCCCTCCACATTTAGAATCAACGTCACGCGTTTAGAGTATTTGGCTGCTGCTAGACATTTCCGCGTGATAAGCCACTTCGTTGAGCTATCATTTGTGGTAAATCGCTCACATAGCTCAGTGGGCCTAACCTGGTAAAAAAATTATTTTAAAATAAATAATAACAACAACTACAGCCCCACCAACTCTCTCTACCGTGATGATGTGAAGTGGTCAGGACCATCTGAGCGAGTCTCCGGGCTCTCTGCGAGTCTACGGTTAACTTGAGTCTGTGGGTCTCCATGCAAATGTCCGGGTCTCTCTGTGCGAGTCCGATGAGGCTGGTTGTTGGAATCACCAGCGGAACGTCGCACTCGAATTGTAAATATCGTGGGTTTACTCAGTGCCCGATTATCCTCGTAGCAAAAGTAGCTACATATGTAGTAGCTACATATGTAGTAGTATGTAGTAGCTACACGTGTAGTAGCTGCATGTGTAGTAGCTACGGGCCCCGCACTTTCAAGGGCCCTACGTTAAATGCTTTCAAGCTATCAATTCCGGTTCAGTGATTCTGCACTTGCTCTATTACTATAGTATTATACCGCCTTGGATTTTATGAACGACTGGGTGTTTAACGTTAGCGATTTGTCGTATTATCCGGCTGTATAGCAAACAAAAAAATACAATTACTTTACTATACAAGTTAAAAATGTGTGTTTTATTTTAGGGGTTTATTTATTTATTTAGGGCCCCTTTATAACATATGCTACAGGCCCCGCGCTCGTTTCATCCGGCACTGGGTTTACTCTCCAACGCACAACCCGCTTAGTGCTGAAGTAGTTCACTAATTGGGCACCTTCTTGTTGACGTGACAACCCTTACTAATTGGCCGCGCGGTTGGGTGATGGTTGCGGGTTAACGACACATTCACATTGGCGCGATCCAACCCAACAATTTTTCGGAGCTTTTATTCTGAAATCCTGAAGGTCGCCTCTACGCAAAAAGCCACTGGCGGTCAAACCTCGCGTCGCCACCACCACCACCACTACCACCACCACCACCATCCGGCAGAGGGGCGGGTGGGTGGTGATGCTTTACAAAACCCGGGGTCGGAACTTTCGGGCAGCCTCCTCAACCCCCGGAGACTACCCGGACCTCGCTCCGGAGCTGCTGATTTCGTTGCGTCGACTTTTGTTTTTATTTGTTCACCCCCCCACCCCCCCCCCCCCGGTGGTTCACCATCGCCCCCCCCCCCACCCCCCAACCCCGTGCGTGGCGTTCATCGGCTGATTCCCACCTCGCTCGTCGCTCTCCACCAGCAGGGAACGGAACGGCCGCATCGACGGCGACGACGTCTGCCCCCAACGCCTCCGGTAAACAAACGCAAGCAAAAAAAGAGAAAGCACGGAACGCATCTCGACTCAAAGGTCACCCGCTCCGCCGATGTGACCTTTCACCACCGTTTCCTCAATTTCGCCCCCGGGTGTAAATTGCCCCCCCCCCCCCTCTTGCGGCGTCCCGAGTGTCCGGTCGTGTCGTTACGCGAGAGCGCGATGTCGATAGCTTGAAAGAATTTAGTGCGGGGCTCTTGAAAGTGCGGGGCCCGTAGCTATGTAGTAGCTACTACGTACTACTACATGTGTATTAGTAGCTACTACATACTACTACATATGTAGTAGCTACTACATACTACTACATATGTAGTAGCAGCTACTACTACATATGTAGTAGCTACTACATATGTAGTAGTAGCTGCTGCTACATATGTAGCTACTTTTGCTACGAGGATAATCGGGCACTGAGTAAACCCACGATATTTACAATATCGCGCGTAGCCCTAAGATCTAAGACTGGTTGGGGGTGAGGGGGGGATGGGGACAACATTGTGATGGTGACGATGGTGACGTACGTACGTGTGTATGTGTGTACGGTGAACTTCTTTCGCGCCGTACGTAGCCAACCGTGCGAATCGGAGGTGCGGGGGGGGGGGGAAGGACAACAAACTAAACACAAAAAAAGTTCAAAGAAGTGAGTTTGTCGATCTAGATGATGATGATAATGATGATTTAAAAGTGCATCACAGCTCCCAACGGCTTCCTGATATCGGAAAGGAAGAACGTTCCAGACGGCCGCACGAGCAACAACGCATCGTGTGCCGTGCCAGCCTTCTTAAGACGCTACTCCCCTATCAGCACTTGTCCCAACGGTCTGCTAAGTCTTTACCGGGGAAGGGGGGTATCTTTACCTTTGCTTGTGTGTGTGCGTGCGTGCGTGCGTCACACAGACATTGCTCCCACGCCCCTGGCACCCCCAGGGCCTCCTGACCCCAACTTCGCCGCCGACGGATTTGGTGAGCACCAACTCAGCACTCCTCACCCACCTTCGCCACGCGTCGAACGAACACGCCGCCGGCTGACAAACACCCCCGGATCGTTGTTATTGCGCACGCGAAGCAATTTGGCGCGTGGCCGGGCTTTTCGCGACCGACATTGTTGTTGTTTTGTTAAAGGTTTAGATCGCGTAAACCCGCCACCACCACCACCCCACACGCAGGCAGGCAAACGAGTGAGGTTTGGCACGTGAACAAAAACGTGGCCAATTCGTGACGAGTGCAGCAACACCGGTGTGTCGGAGAGCAAATGCACGACATTTGGGGCCGTCCATAAATGACGTCACGCTGCAGCAGTAGCAGCAGCCACAGCAGCAGCAACAGCAGCAGCCCCAGCAGCAGCAGCAGTAGCAGCAGCAGTAACAGCAACAGTAGTAGTAACAGCAGTAGCAGCAGTAGCAGCAGCAGCAGTAACAGCAACAGTAGTAGTATCAGCAGAAGCAGCAGCAGCAGCAGCAGAAGACACGTGCTGAGCCACCACCACCACCACCCCCGCCCAGCGTGATCGTGTGGGTTGTCTCCTCTATGCTAGACTCAGCCTCAACTGTATGGATGCCGAACTTCCTTCGCACCGTACACAGCCAACCGTGACACGCGCGACTCGTTCACGTACGCTGGTGCGGTGTGTGTGTGTGTGTAAAACTTCGCGACCGGGGAGACAAAGGTGACCGGGCGTGGTTTGACGGCCACCCACATCCCTCGTGTGCCGTGCGGCTCACGCCACTTGCCCCCCTCCCCCCCCCAACAGTCTGTTAGAGGCTACACCGGCTGGGAACTTTGTCTTTGTCTTTGTCGAGGCAGGTTCCGTGCACCACCTCCTGTTTGTGGCGATTCCCGCGGTCCCCCTGGCGCTCATCCTGCTCATCGCTTCGGGCCTCCTCTGCGCACGCATCTTCTCGCAGTGGTGAGCGTCCCTGTGTGTGTGTCCGTGTGTGTGTGTGTGTATGTGTCCCTGTGTGTGCGTCCCCGTGTGTGTGTCTGTGTGTGTGTCCCCGTGTGTGTGTGTCCGTGTGTGTCTGTGTGTGTGTGTGTCCGTGTGTGTGTGTCCCTGTGTGTGTCCGTGTGTGTGTGTCCGTGTGTGTGTGTCCCTGTGTGTGTGTGTCCATGTGTCTGTGTGTTCGTCTGTGTGTGTGTCCGTGTGTGTGTCCGTGTGTGTCCCTGTGTGTGTGTGTGTCCGTGTGTGTGTCCGTGTGTGTGTGTCCCTGTGTGTGTGTCCGTGTGTGTGTGTCCGTGTGTGTGTCCGTGTGTGTGTGTCCCTGTGTGTGTGTCCGTGTGTGTGTGTCCCCGTGTGTGTGTGTCCGTGTGTGTGCGTCCCTGTGTGTGTGTCCGTGTGTGTGTGTCCGTGTGTGTGTGTCCCTGTGTGTGTGTCCGTGTGTGTGTGTCCGTGTGTGTGTGTCCCTGTGTGTGTGTGTGTCCATGTGTCTGTGTGTCCGTCTGTGTGTGTGTCCGTGTGTGTCCCTGTGTGTGTGTGTCCGTGTGTGTGTCCGTGTGTGTGTGTCCCTGTGTGTGTGTCCGTGTGTGTGTGTCCGTGTGTGTGTCCGTGTGTGTGTCCCTGTGTGTGTGTCCGTGTGTGTGTGTCCCCGTGTGTGTGTGTCCGTGTGTGTGCGTCCCTGTGTGTGTGTCCGTGTGTGTGTGTCCGTGTGTGTCCCTGTGTGTGTGTGTCCGTGTGTGTGTCCGTGTGTGTGTGTCCCTGTGTGTGTCCGTGTGTGTGTGTCCGTGTGTGTGTCCGTGTGTGTGTGTCCCCGTGTGTGTGTCCGTGTGTGTGTGTCCCTGTGTGTGTGTCCGTGTGTGTGTGTCCCTGTGTGTGTGACCGTGTGTGTGTGTCCGTGTGTGTGTGTCCCTGTGTGTGTGTCCGTGTGTGTGTGTCCGTGTGTGTGTGTCCCTGTGTGTGTGTCCATGTGTCTGTGTGTCCGTCTGTGTGTGTGTCCGTGTGTGTCCCTGTGTGTGTGTGTCCGTGTGTGTGTCCGTGTGTGTGTGTCCCTGTGTGTGTGTCCGTGTGTGTGTGTCCGTGTGTGTGTCCGTGTGTGTGTGTCCCTGTGTGTGTGTCCGTGTGTGTGTGTCCCCGTGTGTGTGTCCGTGTGTGTGTGTCCCTGTGTGTGTGTCCGTGTGTGTGTGTCCCTGTGTGTGTGACCGTGTGTGTGTGTGTGTCCGTGTGTGTGTGTCCCTGTGTGTGTGTCCATGTGTCTGTGTGTGTGTGTGTCTGTGTGTGTGTGTCCGTGTGTGTGTCCGTGTGTGTGTGTGTCCGTGTGTGTGTGTCCGTGTGTGTGTCCCTGTGTGTGTGTCCGTGTGTGTGTGTCCCTGTGTATGTGTGTGTGTGTCCGTGTGTGTGTGTCCCTGTGTGTGTGTCCCTGTGTGTGTCCGTGTGTGTGTGTGTGTTTGCCTGTGTGCCTGTGTGTCCGTCTGTTTGTGTGTGTCCGTGTGTCCGTGTGTGTGTCCGTGTGTGTGTGTCCGTGTGTGTGCGTCCGTGTGTGTGTCCGTGTGTGTGTGTGTCCGTGTGTGTGTGTCCGTGTGTGTGTGTCCGTGTGTGTGTCCGTGTGTGTGTGTGTCCGTGTGTGTGTGTCCGTGTGTCCGTGTGTGTGTGTCCGTGTGTGTGCGTCCGTGTGTGTGCGTCCGTGTGTGTGGGTGTGTCCGTGTGTGAGTGTCTGTGTGTGTGTCCCTGTGTGTCCATGACCTCCTGCCAGCCAGCCTTCGACAATTCACGTGGCCTCAAGGTGCACATGTCCTGGCACAAGCGTCGTGGTGACGTCACCGCCACTTAGTGGCGAATGGCGGTTGTTGTCCCTCACTCTCTGCATGTGTGTCTGCCTATGTTGTTTCCGTGCCTGTGTTTTATCCTTAATGCCTACCTGATGATGGTTGCTTGTGTTGCAACCGAAACGTCGTATTCTATTATTATTTGATTTTCGACGCGACTTTACCGAAAGAACCAAAGAGTAATTCCTGCAGTCGCAAAGCTTCGAATCGAGTTTGAGGTATCTACGACTTGGGAGCTGTAGTCAGGGCCGGATTCAGAGATGAAGTAAAAAGTTATTTCGTTTGTGAACGCTGAATTTTATTTGTTGTTATCCTTGTAAAAATCTATTTTAATTTTTTATTTAACTTTGTTTTCCTTTTGAAAATATTACTGGGGGGGGGTGGCATCACAGTAACCTGTAGCCAAGGGGTCCACACAATCTTCACCCGGCCCTGACTGCGGCGGCTGCATTTAGCGAAAGCGGAGTGACCCCCTACAGCGTTAAATGTTCGAGACCGTGAGCACAACGACGACGACGATGCGATCAGTCGCGAGAGTGAGAGGGCCCGCGATGCACAACAAGCGCGAGACAACTCAAACACAGCGCGCCCCACCTGACCGATCAATGCGCCGCGGTACATTCTGCGCCTTCCCGGCATCTCTCGCAGGCGCAGGAAAGGGCCTCACCAGAGCCACACGCCGCACCTGGCCAGCCTGTGGCTCTCTCCGGCACGGAGTCCAAGTCCCGACATCCACGGCGTTATCCGGGATCAGGCGACGGCGGCAGCGGCGTCGTTCGGCGCGCCTCCGGACGTCAGCTCGTTCCGTCGCCGCTCCGAGTCTCTGGGTCCCAGCGTTGGAGGTGGCGGTGGTGGTGGCGGTGGTGCTGGTGGTGGTGGCTCCAGCAGCAGCAGCAACAGCAGCAGCAACAGCAGCAGCAGCAGTATCTCGGGCCGCTATGACAACATCAAGTGCGGGGTCAGAGAAACGGCGGTGGTCTGACGAGAGCGTAAACTGTTTAAACGACTGAACAATTTCACGTTTATTTATTTTCAATTTTGTACTAGGCAAGGCCACACTGAGCTGCTACATAGCTTGTTTTCTCAGAAGCGACCTGGCCACAAATGATAGCTCAACCAAGTGGCTCGTCATCACGTGGCATTTCATAGCGGCCAAATACGCGGCTAAACGTGTGATACTCTTCGGGTTTTTCGGTAAAGTCACGTGGGTAAAAATAAATAATACAAATAAATAATAAAACTAATAGAAATAATAATAGATATAAAATAATAAATCACGACGTTTCGGAGGCAACACAAGTCTCCGTCATCAGGTGGGACCGTCACAGCTGAATTTACTGTATTAATTCACTTAATTGATACACTTGAGACAGTAAATTCAGCTGTGACGGTCCCACCTGATGACGGAGACTTGTGTTGCCTCCGAAACGTCGTGATTTATTATTTTATTTCTATTATTATTCCAAATATTTTATTATTTAATTTTATTATTTCTTTTTACGTACGTGACTTTACCGAAAAAACCTAAGAGTATGAATCCTTGCAGTCACGAAAGCTTCAAATCTAGAATTAAACGTGTGATGTTGATTCTAAATGTGGAGGCGGGTGGAAGGGGGGGGGGATTAAACGGAGGACCCGGAGAAAAATCCACGCGACCACGGAGAGAGAGACACCGCAAACTCCAAATATCTACCAGGCATCAGGCGAGGTAGTTAACATCTCAGCATCGTGGCCAGTGTATGTGACACAGGGCATCCACACTTTGATTGTATTTCCCACTGCAGACTTGTTTTCTCAGCCAGTGCGTGCGATTTGAGTTATGAAAGCTGTGCAGCGATAATAAAGAACGCGTCAATGAATCCTGTGCTGTACCGTCACCCGAACGCAGAGTCCAATTGTCAGACAGTCCAGGTCAAACCGGGAAGGGCGGTAACCCTCTCCTGTGAAAGGTGGTCAGTGGTAGCAGTTGCAACACTATCATCAGCTTCCCCTTCATCATCAAGTTGCAGAAAGATTGATGGATTAGCTGCTGCTGCTGCTGGATCATCGTCACAATCAGTTGCATAGTAGTCAGCAGCTGTTGGAGGATTATCTTCAATGATCATGATCATCATCATCAGCAGCATCGACGTAATTCGCATTGGCGTCATGAATCCCATCGGCAGCTGTAGCAGCAGTAGCAGCAGCTGTAGCAGAAGCAGTTGTAGCAGCAGCAATTGTAGCAGCAGCAGTTGTAGCAGCAGCTGTAGCAGCAGGAGCAGCAGCTGAGTTCGATTCCTGCTCACAGCCAACACCCAGTGACGATTATCTGTCATGAGCCTCCTCTAGGTCGACTCAGCCTCAAATGAGTACCTGGCGTGGTGCGTAAACATCATCACTCGGGAGACAAAGTCGTCCGGGCGTGGGTGCTGGCCACCCACCCCCTCGTGTGCCGTGCCGCCCTTAATAGCTGCCGCTCGCTAGCAGCACTTGCCCTAATAGTCTATTGAACGCTACACGGGGGATCTTTGTCTTTGGCTGCTCGCTGCTGTGCATCAGGGGTCGGCAGCTTGCGGCAGCGGCGGCTCTTGAAGGACCGCTGCTTCGTGCCGTTGTGTGTCGAGGCACACACGCCGCGTCAACCCCATAGGGTTCATACTCTTAGTTCTTTCGGTAAAGTCACGTAGGTAAAAAATGAAATTAAAATTAATAAAAAATAAAAACAATAAAATCACGACGTTTCGGAGGCAACACAAGCTTCCGTCTTCAGGTGAAACTGTCACAGCAAAAAAAACTGTATCAAGTGGAGAGAAGTCCCAAGAGGTACGGACCTTATATACTGGTTAAGGGGGGAGTTGTGAGATGGTCAGTACTGCTGCTGGAACTGAGCCTTTGTAATGTAGATGGAATATGTAGATAAGCCAGCTAGGATTAAGCCGGAAGCTTGTGTTGCCTCCGAAACGTCGTGATTTTTTTATTTTTTATTTTTTTATTAATTTTAATTTCATTTTTTACCTACGTGACTTTACCGAAAGAACTAAGAGTTTGAATCCTTGCAGTCACGAAAGCTTCAAATCTAGAACCCATAGGGTTCAACTCCGCGTTCTTGCACGGGGGAAATTGAGTTTGCAGGTCCACGCGCCGTGCAGCCGCTTGAATACGGGCAGTAACACGTTTTTGTTTTTCGGCTATTTGTGTTTCTCCATCGCGATGGGGCTTTGTAGGATGAACGATGATATTTCTAAGGGGCACGGGGTGACCAACGAGGTCTGAATTAGTCTGTAGTAAGGGAGGGGCACTGATAAGGGGTTGACAGGGATGTAGTAGTGTATAGTGTAGTGCATAGTGTAGTGTATAGTGTAGTGTATAGTTGTGTATAGTGTAGTGTATAGTGTAGTGTATAGTAGTGTATAGTGTAGTGTATAGTGTAGTGTAGAGTGTAGTGTATAGTGTAGTGTATAGTAGTGTAGAGTGTAGTGTATAGTGTAGTGTATAGTGTATAGTGTAGTGTATAGTAGTGTAGTGTATAGTATAGTGTAGTGTAGAGTGTAGTGTATAGTGTAGTGTATAGTGTAGTGTATAGTAGTGTAGTAGTGTATAGTGTAGTGTATAGTGTAGTGTATAGTGTAGTGTATAGTGTAGTGTATAGTGTAGTGTATAGTAGTGTATAGTGTAGTGTATAGTAGTGTATAGTGTAGTGTATAGTGTAGTGTATAGTAGTGTATAGTGTAGTGTATAGTGTAGTGTATAGTGTAGTGTAGAGTGTAGTGTATAGTGTAGTGTATAGTAGTGTATAGTGTAGTGTATAGTGTAGTGTATAGTAGTGTATAGTGTAGTGTATAGTGTAGTGTATAGTGTAGTGTATATGATGAACGTTGAGGTTAATAATGGGCACGGGGTGACCAACGAGGTCTGCATTGGTCTGTAAGAAGGTAGCGCACTGACAAGGAGTTGCCCGCTATGTTAAGGACCCACCGTCTCGTATTCGCATCGTTCATTGGTGAATCCTCGTCATCCCCGATGGGACACAAGGCCGCCACGACGTCACCTGCACTTATTCCCGTCTTCGTATCCACCACGTGGCATTGAAATATCGAGTTTTTTTTCTTAAATTTTTTTGCCCGGTCGAATTCGACCAAAATTTTTTTTGGGCTCTTCTCGATCTACATTTTTGTGCGTTTACCCAGCGCCCCTTCGCTCTGTACGAACAGATGCCACTCGCTAACAGCACTTGGACCCCCAAACAATCTTCTGAAAGCGATACGGGGGGGGTGGGTGGCGGTGTGTGGGATGGGCGGGGTGTGTGGGATTCTTTGCCTTTTACAGCAGCCGAGGGGAGGAGGCGGTGGAGGTGGCGGCGGCGGCGGCGAGGGGAACACGAGCGAGAGCGGCTGCGGGACTCTGGCGAGCGTGGCCGGCTCGGAGGGGCGCCGCGCCACCGACTCGTGGCCACGCCGCGCCGCCTTCTACGGCACCGGCGACGGCGGCCGGAGACTCGAAGGCAGCGGCGACTCCGGGTGGATCGACAGCGATGGCTGCTACTGAGAGTGACCGGGGGGGGGGGTAGGCAGGGGGGTTGACTTGCAGCTCCCACCCCGCGGACCCCCCCCCCCCCACCACCTAGCCCCTCTCCCAGGTAGCGCAGGCTACGAGTTCGAGGGGGCCCAACTTGACTAACCACCGGATTGTGGAGCTGTTTAAGCGGCTTGCGTTTTGCGAGCGCCCCCCCTACAGCGCTAAATGTTCGAGACCGTGAGCGCAACGACGATGCGGTTAGACAGGCGAGAGAGGAGTCTGTGATCTACAGTAGCCTGGGTGTGACCGTGCGAGACCAATCACAGTATTGGGGCCCCCCCTGATCGATTGCTGCACCCCTTGAGCTGTTCATGTAGTTACTACGTCACTGATAATGTAGTTACTACGTCACTGATAATGTAGTTACTACGCCACTGATAATGTAGTTACTACGCCACTGATAATGTAGTTACTACACCACTGATAATGTAGTTACTACATCACTGATAATGTAATTACTACGTCACTGATAATGTAGTTACTACATCACTGATAATGTAGTTACTACGCCACTGATAATGTAGTTACTACGTCACTGATAATGTCGTTACTACACCACTGATAATGTAGTTACTACACCACTGATAATGTAGTGACTACACCACTGATAATGTAGTTACTACGTCACTGATAATGTAGTTACTACGTCACTGATAATGTAGTTACTACGCCACTGATAATGTAATTACTACGTCACTGATAATGTAATTACTACGCCACTGATAATGTAGTTACTACGCCACTGATAACACTGGGCAACAAAAAAAATTCTGGCCTGGACTTTTGCAGCTGTTTTAGACTTATTTCAGGGCGCTGATTCCAAATCTGATCTCAGATTTGCTCTATCACATCATTTTTATGCTATCGGCATACCCCATTTTCATTGATTTTACCCGAAATTAACTCCGTCACTTATGATTGCAAGTTGTTGCGAGTCAGTGACTGCTTTAGTGTTAAAATATGGTGCTGTATTTTGAGGATAGTGTGTTTATAATATCATTTTATGTAGATATCCACATCTATTTAATATTTTCTTCTGCAGTTTATATTCAAAATGCAATATTTGATATCTCAAAAACCTGATGTGATAGACAAAAAAACTGATGCCAGATTTGGAATCAGCACCCCAAAATTACCTTCAAACCGTTGGAATACCTTATGCCAGAAAAAGTGTGTTGACCAGTGATAAATAATCGAAAACACAAATTAAGTTCGACAACTACTTTGTTTCATCAAACCCCTATGTATGTATTAACATTATACATTTTACAACGACTGCGAGATGAGACCGCCAGTGACGTCGTTCCCTTCCACGCAGCTCCCTGATTTCATACAAGAGACTGCCGCTCGGCAGGCAGCTGAAGTTTAAAGCACGGAGTTGACTTCCCCGAACTGCTGGGATGAGGGTTAAAGGTTGACATACTCACTGGAAAATATCCGTAACCGCTGAGCGGGAGGGGGTGGGGATATATTGATCCACGTTCGTTTGCCAAGGGAAGCAATGAGTCATGCAGGCCTTCTCAAGCAGTCGGGCAACGGTGGTGACTAGGCAGGTGACTTCTGCCTGTGATCCAGCGCTGTTGCAGGAGGTAGCAGCAGCAGCAGCAGCAGCGAGGGTTAGTGGATCACGGTGGCTCGCGTTGTTGT